CGAAGAAGAAGAAGAAGAAGAAGAAGAAGAAGAAGAAGAAGAAGAAGAAGAAGAAGAAGAAGAAGAAGAAGAAGAAGACGAAGAAGACGACGGCGAAGAAGAAGAAGAAGAAGAAGAAGAAGAAGAAGAAGAAGAAGAAGAAGAAGAAGAAGAAGAAGAGGAAGAGGAAGAGGAAGAGGAGGAGGAAGAAGAAGACGAAGACGACGATGACGACGACGACGACGACGACGAAGAAGAAGAAGAAGAAGAAGAAGAAGAAGAAGAAGAAGAAGACGAAGACGAAGAAGAAGAAGAAGAAGAAGAAGAAGAAGAAGAAGAAGAAGAAGAATAAGAAGCTTGCGCAGCTTTCGACTCCATACCCCACCTGGCCACTTTTCTTAGCTTTCAATGAATATACTGGACGCGAGTGGATGGCCTCCTGGATACCTAGCCGGTATTTACCTGTCAAGTGAAAGGAAGGACCAGTGGTCTAAGATGATGATGGGGCTGGGCTTTCTCAGAAAGAATAAATGTAGATGAAAGCTGGGACAAAAAAAAGAAAGATTATCGCGAATTACTAATTCTGTGGTGAATAGTGATCAGAGTGAGGACGGAAGTATTCCATTTGTGCTGGAATGGACCAGGATGCTTGCTCCACATACCTGTTGAATCTGAATGAGCTGTTGCAGAGAAGTTTGGTAATGAGCCTCCAGATCTGCCAGGTTGTGCTCCACCTGCAATTTATCGATGGGCTGGAGGCATGTTTCACAGACCTGAACGCCGACTGTATTGGCGCAGAAAGCCTCAATTTTTGCTTTGCTCGCTGTGACATTGATCTCAGCACCTCCCAACTGCATGACAAGAATTAGTGACAGTCTGCCAAATGAGTGGAATCCTTCGGGACATCCGTTATAATTGGAATGATACAGAGAAGATTAGCATGGCCCCTGCGCAAGGATGACACACATAAATCAAGAAATGGTCCAAAAAAAAAACAAAAAAAAACAAAACAAAAAACAAAAAAAAACAAAAAAAAACAAAAAAAAACAAAAAAAACAGAGTGGACGCCATGGAGCAGCGGATCTTGTGGTCATTATCACCAGCAGATCCAAGAAGAACGGCAAACACCGACCTGCAGTGTACCTGGGGCCGATAACAAAGCAATGAACGCACACAGGTAACAAAAAAGCAGGGCTGCTTGCCTCTTTTCTTCTTCCACTTTAGCCTTTTGAAAAAATGATTTGGTCTCACATACTGGGCTACCAGCGTGGTCGCCCAAGTCACCTTGTTTGACTGGAAAGCCCGGCCGTGCAAGGACCACAGAAGGGTCGATTCAGTCCGGACTCCAGACGTCCGGTCTGGAAGGTTCGGATCTGCCAAATTTCGAGGGGGGCAAAAAAAAAAAAAAAAGGGTCCAGGACTCTTCCCCATTGAGGAGCCAAGCCCCCAAAATGTTTTGGGTTTTTTTCAGGCCCGTTTATGCTTTTTCGGGGGGTCCGGACATACTCTCTCTCTATAATAATTTATCAGACACCCCCAATTTTTTAATTATTAATAATTCAATGAAATTCATTACTTTTTATTAGTTTTTTTAATTTTGAAGTCTTTTTTTAAGTTTTTTATAGTTTTTTATTTTCTACTCAAGTTTGGTTAGGAATTCTGACATGACTCTGAGGCAAAAGTGGTTTCCATTGTTATTCTGCATAACATACTGTTTTTTCAGATTTCTTTATTTTTATTTTTTTTAATGGTCCGGACATTTCCGGACCTGCTTACCGGTCCCGGACCATCCGGAACCATGCATGTCCTGAGGTCCGGATGTGTCAATATATAATATATATAAAAAGGGTCAATATATAGTTCCAGACATGCATGGTTCCGGACATAAAAAGGGTCAATATATAATATATAGATGTTTGACGATATATAGTCAAACAGAGCTGCCCGGTAAACTGTAGGCAGAGAGGGAGAATAGGACAACAAACGAGGGGCTGTGACAAACTGTATATACAGAGCTCCCCGGTAAACCGTAGGCTTCCAGGGCGCATGAGCCTCCAACTGTGACTTTTCACAGTGAACCCGGTTTGGCTTTTCTACCGGCCCAGGCCCGAATTGAAAAACTCTTACGACGACGACGTATACAGGGAAGAGGTCAACTCAGGCTTCGGTGAACTGGTGGTTTAAAAGAAAGAAAAGGCAAACCCAATGCACATGACCGATGGTACACATGCAATTTTTGATGAACAGACTGCGAGATCGAATCCACAACACAAAATAACAGTGATGTTCCCCCGCGTGCTCGCCCTCGTCCAACAATTCACACCATTCATGAACTGTAGCGGACCCACCAGGTGTGGTGCTCCGCTAGTGACAGAGATGGAGATGGAGGAAGAAGGGGGGAGCAAGATGGCACAACGCAGCTCCCCACGCAAGACTCCAACGCACGTACTCCAAAATGTGCAAGTAAGGAATGAGACTGAAAACAGACAATGGCTGGGGTATACCCCAGCGGACTGACGGGACTGGACTGGACTGGCTGGTACCGACAGAGG